AAAAAAGTGGCGTACTATGTTAGGAAATGGAGTCTTTCAGGAATGATTTAAACAGCCCTTTTCTAAGACTAGCCACCGGGCAGCAGGGCCTGATCAGGTGTGAGGCTGTTTTGTTCCTTTCACTGACCGTGGCCATTCCATCTCTTTTTGCAGGTGAGAAGCCTTACAAGTGCTCATGGGAGGGATGTGAGTGGCGTTTCGCACGAAGCGATGAGCTCACGAGGCACTACAGGAAACACACAGGGGCAAAGCCCTTTAAATGCAACCACTGCGACAGGTAAAGAGCCGTGGAAGCCGTGGGCTGCGACAGGAGGTGGTGGTGATGGAAGGGTGATCTGTGTGTGTGCTCTTATCACAAGGCTGTCTCGCAGGTGCCGGGCCTGGGGACCAATGGGGTGTCCTCTTGCATGTAACCAAGAGGAGGAATTCTTGGTTCAGTTACACAAGTATTCATTGAACACTGGGTATCAACAAGACATAGTTGCTATCCTTAGGGAGATGATGTGACAGATAATTTTAGTATAATATGACAAGTAATAGGATAGAAAATAGTCAACTGTAGCTACTTATTCTGATGTTTTTATCCACATCAGTACCACTCTCCCTCATCCTTAATAATATGAGAGAACAGAAAGCCTGCCCAACAGAAGCAAGGCTCATTCTAAGGCTTTTTCTCACAATCATTGCTGGAAATGAATTATGCCAAAGAGAGTTTCCATTCTTTGGGCACCTGGGTCATTCCTTCTTCCTTGAAAATAGGCACAAGGGTGCAAAAGATGGCAAGGCTTTGAGGACTTACCCAGTAATTCAATTTCAAGCCTTCACCATTTGATGGTGGAAGAAAGAGCACATAGCAGCAGATACTACCCAAGTAATAGTGTCTGACAGCCCTGGCATTATCAACCAATAAACCCCAAAATGGAGACTCTGCAGGCCAAGGTGAAGGCAGGATTAGGTTTAGACATAATCAAATAATGGGCTTGCATCTGAGCGTGTTATCCTTCTAATCCTATTTCTGTGTTTAAGAGGAAGCTTAAGAAAATTAACCATCTTTTTAATGCAATACTAAAGGTCTCGGTTATGATGAGAAAAATGCTTCTAATACGATAAAAGCCCCTGAAAGCCTCAGGCTTCCCCGGCTGGGCCAGCAGCTCACAGGATGGCAGGAGGGGGCGTGCAGGATGGCAGCAGAGGCCTGGCTTTCCTTGGGAGGAAATTGGATCATGTTCGCATCCTGCCTTCCCTAGTCCCTGTGCCCTGCACTTCCCTTTCCCCAGGTCTTCTTGCATCGTAGTGTTTGTTTGGAGAACGGACAGGAGTGTCCAGGTCTCATGGGTGGCCAGGTTGGCTTGGTGTTCCCTTAAGATGCTTATAAAGAAGCTATAGTGTCTTTCCCTTTTTTCCTGCTTCCTGAAAAGGCTATTTTCTCCTTATCTACATTCTCTAAGAACTAAATAAAGACACTGTGTCTCCTGGAGCCCAGAGATAACCTCCCACCCAGGGCCAAGGAAGTGCAGTTCACACAACTATTGTCTCCCAGTCCTTAGGAACTCCCTTCTGCTTCCCGAGAGTAAAAGTCAGTGTTTAACTTCCATGCCACTATCTGGAAGGCTTCCTGAATTGACGTGAACCAGCAGCTGCCTTCCACGGAGTATGCTCCAGTAAAGTCTCTCCTTATTTGACATGTTCCTTCAACCCCATTTCCCTGGTCCCCTCTTCTTTCCCTGGCTAATAAAGAAGCTCTGCAGATGGCAACTCTCCACCCACAGCCCTTGGAGGGAGAGTGTCCCATTATATCAACTGAGACAAAGAAGAATTCTTTGGGAGCTGTCAAAATATAATGGTAGTAGGTGCACCACAAGCTATCGGGATCTGAAGGGTGTTGAGGCTGTGAACTTGGCAATTGTGAACATTATGAGTTGCTATAATCCTTGGAAGCAGAGTTTTCATGGGGAAATTGCCAGAGTTAATATTCCTGTCTTCAAATCAGCTGACTTACCGAGGAATTTACAGTCTTTCAGCACCTGAAGGATTAGGATTAAATCTGGCCATTTATTTATGGGGATTAATATTCCACATCTACAGGGTATTTCCATGATGGAGAAGTCAGAGATGGGTGATTTGACTGGTCTTTTGCTTAGTTTTCTTCATCAATGTACACTGTGATTTCTGGAGCTAGAAATTTACTGAGCAAAGGGTACAATTTGGGGGAGATTGAGTAGGTCAAAGTCCTATGATAGAAGCTGATTGTACATTGTCAACAATGTCAGAAATGAGAGGTTGGTCACTCATTAATATCTCAAGCAGTAAGATGCATTTCAATTGCAGCGATTGTGCCAAGAATAGACAGGTCTGGGAGGCGTGGTGGGGAATTGGAGTAGTCCCAAAGCAGATGAAAGCTTGGAGTGACCGGGGACTTGGCATTCCTTAGAAGACTTTTACCTTCAGAAACAGAGGGCGTCTGCAGCCTTTGGCAGGACGCGGCATCCTACTGGTACCACAGTATATATGAGTGCACTACTTTGCGCTTGCTAAAATTCGAACAATCAGACTACTTTATTTAGAAACGAAATAGGCTTTGGATTTCCTTTCCTTAAGCATGTACCAAGTCTAACTTAGGCTTTTATTTTGCCTAGAGGGTAGTTTTAAAAATTCAGGAGGTTTTTTGGGTTTTTTGGCCAACATTTAAAATCGTTAAATGTCACACCAAAAAAGTCTGTATTTCTGGCTTTGTCTGGAAAAAATCAGATCTGGCCACAGTGGGCTCACATTCCCATGTGGCTGTAATTGGCTGGAACTGCATAGCAATCACTACCTATTTGCAATGGCCCCGTGGTGACTATTTTTCCACTGTTGCCACCACTCCCTATGGCCTTCGCGATAAGACGGCAAAGTATCACACTTGCTGTGTCATTTCTTCCTACAAGAAGAGTGCTATCTCTTCATATCCGTACCTTAGCAGAAGTGCAAAGAGATAGTCCAAGAGTGCTGTGTATTCCTCACACTTGGTCTGCTGCACACGCCGACTTTATCTGCCTGGCCCCTGCAGACACGGGGTTTCATGACCTCTGGTTTCAGGTTTGGGTTGGGGGAAAAAGCAAGGAGGTGGCGGTACCATTTCCTCACCATCAGACCGGACAGTACAGCCCACTTAGTGACTGGCTGCTAGAAGGATGAGTTATTTCTCAGCCCACAGAGCAGAAGGCAGCCAGTGGTGGTAAATAGGACTCCATTAGGGGTAGCAGGCAGGCCATTGTTGTGGTGATTCAGTACAATTATAGTCTAGGAGACTGCTACCAATGTGTTACATCCAAGCTCTTGGGCAGTTTATAGGGAGCATTTTGATCTTTGTCAGCCCACTTGTACGTAGTAAGAGATACCAGCCAATACCTTACTCCTTCCCTCCCCTAGAGGATTGCTGTTGGCTTAACAGCTGTGTGACTTTACTGTGCCTTTTTCCTAAGGAAGAGAAATAACTATGGGCTTTGACTAGGTCTCCCTTATGTACAAATTTTAATCATTAAGGACTTTCTTACTTGAAGTCATCTGGCTGCTGTATAGTTATGAATACCCTCTGGGGGATACGTTATCCTTAAAAGTCATTTGGTTCTGCATTTCTAGATGCCAAATTCATCTATTACCTTTCATTATTCCTGGGTGGAATTCAGTTAAGTATAAATTAATAAATATAAATTAATCATGGCTAACTATCTTGCTTACATATTGAATTTAAATAAAAACCTCAGTGATGGGACCTGGACTAATTCTAAACATCATATAGTTTCTAGAATTTGAACAAATAATGACGCTCATTTGTTTGAATATGGGGTGCAGTCACATTTGATAAATTTCCCCCCCTCCCCAGAGTCTTTTTCTGAAATAACTTAAAGCATAAAGGCAGATGCTCGTACAAATATGGCTAGACACCCAGAAATTGGTAGAGGCAGCATTTAAGTTGAACAGATAAATTTCTGATTGGTATTTTTCAGATAGAGTTCTTTATCAAAAATACTATTCTCCTGAAAGTTCCCAGGGTATAGAAAAGAAAGGAGAGGGCTTTTGTTCACTGGCAGAACCGCTGTTCATTCTCACCATCTCAGACTCCTGCCGGCCTCCTCCGGACAGGCAGATTCTTGGGGCCTGCTCTGTCGTTTCGCAGAGATTCCTACTGCTCAGGCCTGACTCGTTCAACCTCCGCATTAATTCTCTGGTTGCTGCCATGACCCATTGCCACAGAATTAGTATCATGTTTATTTACTTTGTAAGTTTATTTTCTTACACTGCTGTAGGTTCCAAGTCTAATGTAAGTCTCGGTGGACTCAAATCAGGGGGTTGGCAGGGCTGCCTTCTTTTCTGGAGGCTCTAGGGGAGAATCTATTTCTCTGCCTCCATGACCTCATTCCTCCATCACCAGAACTGCTGAGCCTTTCTCACGCTATCATCTCTCTGGTTCTCTCTTTCAATTCCCACTTCATTTTTAAGGACCTCTGTGAGAGCATTGGGCCCACCCAGATAATCCAGGTTAATCTCACTATTTTAAGGTCAGTGATTAGTAAATTGATTCCATCTGTAACCTTAATTCCCCCTTTCCCTGTAAAGGAATGTGGTGTCTGGGGATGAGGTGTAGACACTTGGACGGAGGGCGTTAGTCTATCTACAAGCTCCTTACGTTGGTATCTCATCTCTCCTTTATTGTTAGCCTAAAAAGCTGATGTGCTCAAAAGCATGGGCCCTGGAGTCAGGCTATGTGGGTTGGAATCCTGGCTTGGCCTCTTTCTGATGAATGTCTCATCTGGTAATGGAGATAAGAATGGTACCTTCTTTATACAGTTCTTGTAAGGATGTTGAGTTTAAAAAAGAAATACCTACAAAGAGAACTTCTCATCTTGGATCGTCTTTCTCTGGGTTGAAGACATTAAAGGGAGAGAAGAAAAGAATGAGAAGGAGGAAAGGCAAGGAGGGGTGGAAGGAAAGACAACAGGCAGTGGGCAGTTCTGAGCTGGACCTCCAGACTGCACAGTTGTGCCAGTTATGTGCAGAATTCCCTGAAGGCTGTATTGCTTTTTCTGTGTCCCTCTGACATTAAGTCCTTGCTTTTAAAAAATACCAATCACTGTTTTGTAGCAAATAAAATCTCTCCATAGAGGTTTCTCAAATGGATTATCCAAATACCTTGCTCATACCAACTCAGGGCCTGAAATAGGCGGGGGTGATGGAATGGCTATTGTTCAGCAGGTTGCTGGAGTAGGTTATTTCCACTGTACTTCCCATTCTTACCTGGTTTTTATTTTACCTTTGTTCCAGTTCATTTCATTTCCTTGAGGTGCCTGTGCATCTATTTAAGGAATGGACACAAACAGAGGGTGTGGAGAATGTTGAGGTCAGGGGAAAGGGTGGATTTTTTTGTTTGTTTGTTTGTTTGTTTGTTTGTTTGTTTGTTTTAAGAATGAGCACACACAGGGAAGTCCTGCACTGGACAGGAAACCCTGCGAGGCTGAACGGGCATCCTCACAAGAGTTTTAAACTGTGGGGGTGTCCCAGGCTTCAGGGGAGGCTGGGAACTTTCTCATAGGTAAGGAAGTGGCTAGCTTCAGGAGAAGCACCCACAGGTAGAGTGTACACTAGCGCTGAGAGCAGTTCTGCCTTACATGCTGACTCCACTGGGATTCTATCCAAGACCTCAGACTGTAGGCTGCAGCAATGTGGAAACACCCACTATCGGCTATAAGATACAGAAACCTGACTCAGGCCAGTGTTAACTTTGGAAGGGATTCATTCATTAGCTCAGGTGACCAAGAAGAACTGAATTAGATTTGTCTTAGGCTTGGGCGGATCCCGGCCACTGTCATCAGAACTCTTTCTTTCTCCTTTTTCTCTGTGGCCTTTGCCCTCAAGCAGGCCCCTTCCCACAATGGCAGCAGCTCCTGGCTTGCTTTTAGCAGCTTAGCAGCCCCAGTGGAAGGACAGCCTCTCTCTTCAGGTAATATCACATGTCTCAGGACTGGCTCTCATTGGCCTCTAAAGGTCACATGACTGTTGTTTAGCAGATTACTGCGGCCAGGACGTCAACGTTAAGGAGGAATGTCAGCCCCATGTAGATGAGGGTTGCTACTCAGGAGGACATCATGTTGCTGGGGTTAGAGGAGACAGGAAGTGACCCCTGGATCCACTCTAACTGAGGGTGACACTCAGTTATGGTCCGTAAGTCCCAGGGAGCAGTCAAAAACAGTAGGCTCAAAGATCTGCCAGGTTCTGATTCCAAGTCTGCCACTTACTAGCTGTGCAATCTTAGCCTCAGTTTACCCCTCCCCACCCACACACAAGGGTAGGAATGCTTACCATGGGGCGTTATATTCAGGAAACCCCCAGCAAGTGCCTGTAAATAGTGATATAACTGTGAGCCCCTTCTCTGTTCTTCTTCTTGCTGAGGGTATGTGGTGTGTCTGCACAGGCCTGTAGGTGTTTACAGGTGGCATTTCTGGCCTTTCATTGTAAAACTTGGGATTGAAATCGGGGTGCTGAACTGTTGGATGGTACAGGGTAATTGTTCTTTATCGTATTTACAGTATAT